AAAAGACAAAATTAACTATTTTAGTCACAAAAAATAAAATATCACATTCAACCCATAATCATTACACTCTTCTCTCACAAAAAAAGTTAAAAAAACTAAAAAGCCCTTTCCCAAATCAAGTTTTTTAGCCCAGGTTAAAATAGCCAAAAAAGTCAAAAAGTCAAAAAGCCAACCCACTTTCCAAACGGAGGCATAGTTATATTTTATGCATCTGTCACTTATCTTTTTCCTTTTCTTTCTAAATTTCTTTTCAAATCTATGAACCAAACATAACCTCAGAAAAAGAAATAATAATAATAATAATTTATTGTTTCAGACTTTTGAGTTGGATTTTTTGGAATTAAGTCATGAAATTGAATTATGTATGAATCTCATGTTTAACTATAAAAATGGATTTCCAAAAGAATTCATAATAGATTTGGATTGGAGATACAAAATGTTGGATTAAAGTTACAGTTATTGCACTATGTAATTCACATGTAATGATTTCAAACAAACATGAATAATAATCTTTAATGATTGATAATTCTAAAACTAATAATTTGAACACGTAAGACACTAACATGAAATATTGGCAAGAAAGAAGGGCATTTTCAATAACATAGAGCAAAAAAAAACTGTTTGGCAGGGAAAGTCGAATGATTATGAAAATTTTAAACTCTATTTAGATCATAAATTTAAATAAACATTTAGAAATAGAATTAAAAAAAAAATTTAAAAATGTGAATAAAATATAAGGATAAATTATAAATACACTTCCTGAAATTTGTTTAAAATACGAATTACCTCCTGTAGTTTTGAAAATTACAAATACCTCCCTGTCAGAATTTTTTATTTAACAGAATTAATTAAAAAAATAAAATTTCTAATTGTTCACCTATACAATAATAAAATTATTTGAATTATTAATTGAAATAAAATTTTAACATTATTAAAAATTATTAATTACTTTGATGATTTATTAATAAAAAGACCTATTTTTAAAACCGCAGAGAATAATTTATAATTTAAATAAATCTTAGAGGGTGTGTTTGTAATTTACACAAAATATAATAAAAAATTTTATTTCTTGTATTTTAAAATTCTTATTTAAATTTATAATTCAAACACAACATTAAATCAATTAGAACACCAAACCAAGGCAGCTTCCACTGGTGTCACCCAATCCAATCCAATCCAAGGAAAGAAACATGACATTAGTGACTTACTTTACTATTCTATTGTTTAGTGAAGAAGTATGTATATCATGATTATATTATATTTATATCTCACTCTCAATCATGAAAATATGCTTAGAAGGTAACAAAACAAAACACAGAGAGAGAGAGAGAGAGAGAGCATGTTATTTGCTAATTTTACAGCTTGTAATATCGTTTGGATATAGATGTAGGCTTGTGTTTCCTTTTAGGAGCAGTTGGATGGAATGCTAATATTGATTGCTTTGGTATTTACATCTTTGCGGACTGCACGTGCAGATGATTCTATGACCATAACCTTTTAAATATAAATAAATAAATAAATATATAATAAAAAAAAAATTAAAATAAAATTTGGTGATATTCCTTTATTTGGTGGCTCAAACAAAACAAAACAAAACAAAACAAAAAAAAGTGACCAAAGATGACAACCACGTGACGATAGAGAAATTGTTTGGTGCAAATTAAAAGAATACAGGACCACCATGGAATTCAATTCAGGGTACCCTACCCACTAAGGATTTATTACATATATATATATATAGATCCAAAACACCGACCTATTAGGTGTACATTATTATTAGGGACAATTAAAAAAAACGTCACGTTTGAGTCATTTAATAAAATAAATTATTAGTTTTTAATTTTATTAATTTGATTTTAATTTAAATTATTCGTCTATTTTTGTTAAATAAAATTGACGGAAAAAAAAAATAATTTAGTCATTCAACTCAATGTATATAAAATGTATAAAATATTCTTTTTCATTAAGTTTAATGATTAAAATACTATTTTTTAATAAATTTTACTTAACAAAAATAAACAAATAGTTTAGATTAAAAACAAATTAAAAATTTAAGATTTAAATTAACAAAATCAAAAATTTAAAGTTTATTTTGTTATAAAGATCAATGTTTAGAGTTTTTTTTGTAATTTCTTTTATTATTATTATTATTATTATTATTATTCAACCTTCTCAACATTGTGTTTAGTTTATGAATTTAAATAGGAATTATTTAGAAAAGAAAAAAATATATAAAATGCGAATAAAATATAATTATATTTTATTTAAATTTTACACACATTTTTTTTTTCTTTCTAAATCTCTCTCTAAATTCATGAATTAAACACAATCTAAAAATGGAATCAAATTGGACCACACCTGCAAAATAAATCCCGAATACATGTAATTATTCCCAAATAACAAGTACCAGTAAAGTTTGAGAAACACCAACGGAAAACGAACTCAAGATGTGTGAGAGTTTACGGTTCGCTCCAAAATTCAACTCTTAAAGTTGTGTTTTATTTATAAATACAAGAAAAAATTTAAAAAATGAACGGAAAAAAATGAATAGAATGCGAATAAAATATAAGTATATTCACACATATTTTTCTTTTCTTTTTTCAAATCACTCTCTAAATTCATGAACTAAATACAGTCTCAATCATTGAATTATCCATGTAGGATCAACCTTAAATATATAATAATTGCATATTTTCTATGACAAGCACCCTCATAAAATAATGTATAATTATGATAATCACATTTTATTCTCAATTATCACTGAATGTCTCCGTATGCTCACTTTTAAAACTAGACATTTAAAGGTGAAACTAAAGAATAGTTGAGGAGGTAAATTATAATTAATTATTATTTTAATTTTAAACTTAAAAAGGAATTCATTAACAAAATCCATATATATATATATATATATTAACCTAACTAATGTATATAAAACAGAACATCAGCAGCAGCACTCACTTTCAATGCACATCTTATTCAGCATGTTAGAATTGACTGTAGATTAGAAGAAAAGAGAGATCGTGATGACAATTCCTCACTAACCACCTTCCTTTTCTTACAAGACTAATGATAGCTATCAAACAAAGTTTGTTTGATGAGTAATTATGGCATTAGATCAGCAACAACATTCCATAATTCTATAATTGCCAACACAACACAACACAACACAACACAACACAACTCATCTTCAACTCAAACACAAGCCTACCCCACAATTCCTTCTCTCCTAAATAGGGCTTTCTATATTGACAAAGCCTATGCTTTAGGATTTCCAAAGAAAATCTTTTTTGGCGTAGGTGTGCTGCTTCGCAGAGTTGTCCAGTTTGTGGAGCGGAAGTGGAATCGATTGAACACCTCCTCTTCCATTGCGAGTGGACTGGAGCCGTTTGGTTTGGGTGTGATCTTGAGTTCCTTTCTAGGCGGGGCGTCATCCACTCATCTAAAGAATGGACTCAATCTATTATTGAGGAAGGTGATAATGCTTCTGACAGAAAGAGCGTTTGGGGAAAGTTGCTACTGTGGATAGGTGCATTTGGAAAGCTCGAAATGATTGGACCTTCAACCATTCTCAAGTTGATCCAATTCAAGTTATCAGACAAGCCTCTTCTTTATGGAGGGAAGCCAGTCTTGTGTTGTCCAAAGATATAGAGGTTGATTTGGCAAGATACTCACCAGAAGGTAACCCCACCCAGTTCCTAGCCGTCCGAGGTGGGCTCCTCCTCAAAATTCTCTGAAGATTAACTGTGATGCCTCCTTTGATTCTGAGAAGCAGAGGTCTACCCTTGCTGTTATTTTGAGGGATTCAAAGGGGAAATTGGTTGATGGCATTGTCTCGTCAGTCCATTCTTCTTCAGTCTTGCATGGAGAAGCTAGTGCAATTCGGTTGGCTTGTTTATTCCTTCAAACTCTTGGTCTTTCTAATGTCCAAGGGGAAAGTGATAACAAGTCAGTCATTGGTCTCTGCGTTTCCGAACTGGTTCCCCCTTGGGAGTGCCGTGCGATCTTTCATGGCATTTGCCATCTCAGCTCTAATTTTTCGGTTTTGTTCTCATGGGCTCCAAGAGAGGTAAAAAATTGTGCTCACTGGCTTGCTGCAGCCTAGTTGAAAAGCATTCGGTTTTTCAACTTAAAAATTAAGCCCTATGTCACAATCAAGTGAGATCGGATTATATAATTTAGTTTTCAACATTCTACTCTACCAAGGACCATACGTTCAATTAAATTAAATAAACTCATATCATTTTTCCTGCTGCATCCATATCAACTTGGGTTTTCCCCTCCACCTAACATCTCTATTATAATTCACAAATGATCATATCACTTTTCCGCACCATTGCATCCATATGTTTACCATATCACGAATACCCTCAGCTACCTAAGCTTAAAAATAATAACAAAAAAGCAGCAGCAAAGGGTGGCGCCATCCACGGTTTGGGACATGGTTCCTCAAGTGGAGTAAGTTGCTAAAAACACAGAGAGAGAGAGAGAGAGAGGGAGAGAAAGAGCCAGACCACCAATATCAACTATACGATGAAGAAAACAAAATCATACCACCAAACTCAACTAATTAGAACCAAGGTTTCCTATAGGCAAACCTGGAATTCTAAAACAAACCCCAATTGCCCGGTATTAGGGTAAGATGATTACTTTTTTACCGATACACTGGCCCCAAGCAAATGTTTGAGTGGAACATGTTGCTTCCAATGTGATCTGACTAGGCCTAGATCCACACACACACAGAAAAAAAAACCTTATTGTGTGAGGGAGGAAAAATAAACACGCGCACACTCATTCCACATCTATCAGTTTTGACACCAAAGTTACCACGAGCCTCATAGGGAGCTCTAGCTATTCAGGACCAACTGCACAAGAGTGAAATTGGCCTAGCTTAAAGAATTAAGAGGCACAAAGGCAGTGCCCTGCCCAAGTGCACAGATTAAGAGACACAAGCAGCAGCAGCAAATAAAGGTAGTAAAGACGAAAGTTACAAAACAACAATATAAAATAAAAGCAATGTATAGATGAATTATAAGTTTCGAAACAAGCAACCAAAAGCTGTCAGCAAATTAAATTGCTATGCGGTAATAAGGCAGTTCAGGAACTGTTAATGAACGCAAAACATTACTTGGAAAGGAATTACAGAAAGAAAGAAACATTGAAGCAGACCTCCCTCAAGCCCCTAAGTCTCAACCATTTCATGTTCTACCACTGATGGTTCAACGGGGTAGTAGTTGTAGTGAAGCTCAGCAACATCATCCCCAGAGAGTTTCTTCCATCCATTGGGTCCAACGTAATACACTGATAAGAGAGAATCATTAAGTTATAGATATCAAATCTCACACGCACACCCACCCATCCACACACAAGACAAGAGCTTACCACTAGCAACACCGCCACTTGCTCCATCTCGAAATGTTGCATGATAAATGGCACGTCTAGCCAACTCTGCAGCTTCTTCCACCGTCATATCATAACGGTACCTACCACGTTCATAAAATAACACCAAAATAAGCACATTGCTTGTATAGAAGATATGGCAAAACCCTTCTAAATATTTATAGAAACTACATAAACAAGATAATGGAAAAGGGAGCGGACAGGAGACGCTCAAGTCCATGAAAGTCACAGGGAAACAACTTTGCCAAATACATCCAAGCATTTCTACCAAATTTTTTTTAATATATTTCTTGTTTCTACAATTTGTAGTTTTGCTTTTTCCTCCACAATTATATGAGGTTTCCCACAAGATGCATAATGTTGTCCCCCTCTTTATGGTACGTCAAAAAAACGCAACTATTTAATTCAACAGACAAATTTGGAGGAGATACTGGAAAATGCATTTCTAAATAACAATGGGAAAATGTAACTCGGTCAGCAGAGAATACAAAAAATCACGTGACAATATTGAAAAATAGTTAAGGGAAAGAAGAACTCACCCGTTATCCAGTACTCCATAAGCATAAGGTGAACCAGATCCAACAGAAAATCTCATTCCTTTTAGACGACCACCATCACTGTCCACATAATACAACCCAGGACCCTACAGACCACAAGAAGAAACACAGTTTATAGGAGTCCAAGAAAGCTAGGACAAGTAACATTACTAAATAATTTTCGTTTGTCATTACCGTTTCATCCCAACCAGCAATCATGGTACCAACAGACAAACCCATTCCACGGTAATTATATAGAATGTTTGCTAACAGCTTTGAGGCCCCAGTAACTGAAATTCTTCGCTTATTTGCAAGTTCATGGAGTCGGCACTAAAATATGCAAGACAAAAAGTGTGTTAGCTCTTGTAAATAGAAAAACCATAACATTGACAATTTCCGGTTATTAGATCCTAACACAAAAATAAAACTGCACTATGGCATTGTTGTCAAATTTAAAACCCAGTCAACCATGCAGGTGCATCCAGCTAGTGAGATGGTTTCGCAACACTAACATATTCAGCAGCTACAGAGCTGCGCACAATTAGGTAGTTCGACTCCGTCCTAAGACTAGACGATTGGTTGGGCAACTATAAGGAAGAAAATCTGCTATAGCAAAGCTCAGTAAAGCGGTTGCCTGATGTATGGAAAGTAATGAGGCGAACCAATATATAAACTTGTCTAGAAATACAAACTGAATCAAGTTTTTTAATAGAAATTACTCTAACTGCTTTATAAAAGTAGTAGAAACTCTATTTTAAGAAGTAACCAATGACTTCAGGAGTATCATCGACAACATTTCAAAGTCAGAAGGGGAAAATACACATCCAATATACCTACCTTGCTAATCAGTGTTATTCTCTTCGCATCAGTAAACCAAATTTTCAATCTTCTTCTTCTTCCCCTGCTTCTAGCACTAATGCTTAGAGTGCAAGGCTTGTATGCCAATCACTTATACCTTGCTAATGTACTCATAAACAGACTTTTGTATTCAAAAAATTTATAAATGACAATATAACCCCGTTTTTCATATTTTCACATGTCAAATTGTATTTGTAGAAGTCTCTACCAATCCACCCTAAGAGAGGATAAACAATTTAAAATAACAGATTGGACAAAAAAGTAATTAACAGTAGTTAAATGGTAAAAGAGATACACAACTACACAGAGAAGACAAATAATAAACTGACACTACACTCCAGCTTTAGGAATGCCATTCCTTAGTGGGAATATAGCAAGGAATGCCTGGCCAGGTCTTACTGCACAGCAAGCAGATAACGGAAACCATAGCTGAATTACCTTAATGCCCAAATTTCTATGCCAGAATTGGCAATCAGCTGCTCCACCAGCCATTGTCCCAAGCATGTAGGGATTAATCTCAATGATTTTCTTCACAGATTGTGAGGCTATCAAAATTAAAGTTTTAAGTGGTAAGCACGATATAATTTTCAATGCAAAGAAAACAAACAGCATAAAATATGAATGATGAACATACAGATGTAGCCTCCCATGCTTGCACGGGAGTCAGCAGCAACCATTACACCCTCCTTAAAAATGAAAGCAAGCGTTGTTGTGCCCTTTGCTGGTTTCACCATCTGTATAGCTTCTTTCAGAAATCCATCAAACTGGGGGAAAAAAAAAACAAATAGAAAATAAATCGTTAACCAAATAATTGTCAAAAAAACGTATTAACATAATCATATTATGACATTCCGAAATAAATAGATGAAACTCACATTAGTAGTATTAGGAATGTCAAAAGATGGGGCAGTGGAGAAACCACTGAAAAGCTCATTGTTTGCTCCAAGCAACCCATGTGTCTCGAGACCACTTGTATCAAACTTCATGCTTATACCTTTCTTGGCTTTTTATCTGAGGCCAAGTTTCAAAACAATTGGAATATTAAACATAGGAAGTCCAAAACTTATTACAGAATTAATAGAAAAGAAATATATAAATTAAAAAGAAACATGCATATTTATACTATTATACTAGTCTATCACCCGTGCTATGCACGGGATAATTATAGATATTTATATTTGTTTAATATTTTTTATAAAAATAATTTAACAATCTTATCACTAACCATAGTGTACAGGAGAAATTAAAAAGGCTACTGCAGTAACTATACACGGGTTGTATCTATAATTATTTGTATGAGGAGATTTTAAATACTAATCAGGGATTTTGACCAAATCAATAAATGCAGGCATGTGGATTGAAAAAAGTTAATAAATGCTGATCAGGGGATTTTGACCAAATCAATAAATGCTGAGGTGCTTTTTTTTTAAATCAAAAATTTAGAAAATTAATATTGAGAGATTGGAGCTCCTACAAGGCTTGGGGTTTAGAAACCCCAATTTTCTTAATATATTTATAATTATTTATATATGTGAATTGCGATTTTTAAATGTCTTTTTATTTTTATTTTTAAATGTCTTCTTTTTTTCCTTTTTTATATTATATTAAAGTTTAATATTTTGATAATAATCATATGTGTTGGACTTTTCAAGGAATTAAATGTCTTCTTTTTTTATTATATTATATTAAAGTTTAATATTTTGATAATAATCATATGTGTTGGACTTTTTTTTATGGTTTGCATAATCGACTTAGTGGTCACATTTATTTTTATTTTTATTTTTATTTTTATTTTTATTTTTATTTTTTGACAAATAAGAGAAATAAATAAAAATAGATATAAAAATTCTTATCATTTTTATATAATTTTATTTTTCGAGTGGTCAGAAATAAATTTTAAAAATATAAAATATTTTTTCATATTTGTTTTCATCAAATTATTTTTCTTTTTATTTTTAGTGACTTCCATTTTATTTTATTTTAAATATTTTAGGCAATTTTTTTTTTTAGATAGACCAAATTTAGATACACTTAAAAAAAGACTTGGGAGTTAGGAGAAATTAATAAATGTTAAGATTTTTTTTTAAATCAAAAAATCAGGAAATTTAGATTGGGAGATTGGAGCTCCCACAAAACTTGGGGTTAAAAACCCCATTTTGCTTAATATATAGTATAGATATCATATCACCCGTGCTATGCACGAATTTGTTTACAATTATCTATATATGTGAATTGTGATTTTTAAATTTTTTTATTTTTTATTTTTAAATGTCTTCTTTTTTTCATTTTTTATATTCTATTAAAGTTTAATATTTTGATAAGGGTCCAGTTTGTCTCAAGTTGAGATCAAGACTGGACCCGTCCAGTCCGGCCCATGGGGCCCATTGTTTGGGTCCGTTTTGATAATCCGAACCATTCAATGTGTAGAACTCGTCGAGTACTATATGCCTGTAAAAAATCGCGTTGATCGGATATCAATAGCTATGTGATCATATCAGTTTTGTATAAAAAAAATGGACGGTAAAAAAATTAGCGGTTGATAAAAAACTGTTTTGTTCACATAGTTATCGATATCCGATCAACTTGATTTTTTACAAACATATAGTACTCGACGAGTTCTACACATTGAACGATTCAGATTATCAAAACGGGACCCGTGGTGGACCCTCACGGATCCAACAGCACGGTCCAGTCCGATCTTGGACTGGACCAAAGCCACTGCTTTTTGATAATAATCATATGTGTTGGACTTTTCAAGAAATTTTTTTTATACTTGTTCTTAATGTATTAAAGTGTTATTATGAGGGATAATAATCATATGTGTTGGAACTTTTCAAAAAATTCATATGTGTTGGATTTCAAAGAATTTTTTATACTTGGTATTAATGCATTAAAGTGTTATTATGAGGGTAAGACTTGTGAGTTGGAAGAAGTTAATAAAAGCAAAGGTTTTTTTTTTTTAAATCAAAAAATCAGAAAATTTAGATTGGGAGATTGGAGCTCCCACAAGACTTGGGATTAAAAACCCCATTTTGCTTAATATATAGTATAGATATGTGAGCACATGATGTGGTGTCTAATAGTGTGGTGGTTTCTCCTTCTGCCACGTGGCAAATTTTCCTATCTTGAAATAAAAATATATTATTCAAAAGCGTGAAAAAGATTTGAACGCAAGACCTTGGGTTTCATTAATAACACTCTTACCATTTAGACAATATATATATATTATGATATAAATTTCTTTATTATTTATTTTTATACTTACTTATCTAAATTGCACACATATTGCGTGTGTCACCCACTAGTCTATATATATGCATACATCTACTACCACCCTTTGTATATTTTAGTGGTGTAGTTGATATCCACTATTACCTTTCATATATTACTTTCTTTCATCATATTATTCCCAATGTTCAAATGCCCATCACTAAAATAACCAACACGGTGGGCATGGCTCAGGGACCCCAACGCTAAACCTCCCCGCTTAGGCAAACTTTCCCTCTAACCCCACCCTGCCCAATATGGTGAAATCATCAAATACATAATTGTGAATTAATCAGGCAGCTTACAAAAAAATTAAGTATTTTATGCACACAAAAAAGTCAGTATAATTAGCAATTCGGAACTGTGGCAACAGAAAATCATCATAATCAGCATTTTCGCAACAAGAAGTTCAGTATAATTAGCACTATAGCAATAGATGACACAGGGAACTGAACCAGCAGAAGTGCAGAAACCCAGATGAAGAATCAAAATTAGGTATGATTAACCATAAATAAATAGAGATACAACAACCTAATCATTTTCAACTCAAGTTTTAATTTTTTTTCTGAGCTACCAAACAGAAAGAGTTTATCAAATCAAAGCACTAATTCTTAACCACCCAATGCGAAACCCTAAATTAAAAATAAAATCAACTAATTTCAGATCATACAGAGCTTGTTAACTAAAAATCAATCGATTACTTGCAATCCACAGTCCACAGTTTGTAAACATAACAAGAAATGAATGTATATATAAAGAAATATATAGATTACCTGTTCGAACAGAGACAGAGAGAGTCAAATCGCAGAGGATTGAAAAGAGAGTGTTTGCAAAACCTCGTCTGAGAGTGAATGCTTGGAGGAATATAAAGAATTGGGGGTTTTCTTGCGCAACACATCAGGAATAAATGGGCCGGGTAAACCGACCCGCCACCCATAGTTGGTGCTCGGTTTGGGAATGGTTTGGACATATTTGGTGAACTTCAATTCTAATTAGGCCCGGCCCAGTCAAATTATCCTGTTTTTATATTTTCTTGTAGACTTCATTTTTACCATTGATAAACTTTGTTTGTTTGGATAGAAACATTTTTTATATTTTTTCAGTGTTTGTTTGGTATAATGGCTTGTTTTGGCAATTCGGTTAAAAGTCATTTTTTTGATTTTTTGATTTTTTGATTTTTTTTGGGTCATATTATTTCACTACTTTTTTTATACATTTTTTTAAAAAAAAAAGTCAAAAAAAAAACAAAAAAGTCATTTTTTAACCTACTTTTCAAAACAAGCCAATCAAAAATGAAAGTTCACAGAAAATAAGCTTATTTAGGCATAAAATATTTTTTACTTAGTAAAAAATATTTTATTGATTAAAGTCTTACCTATGTTAGTACATTACCATTGTCACTCTTACCATCACCACCGTCACACCGCCGTCACTACAGTCACCACCACTTCCATTTTCATCCCATCACTAAATATAAAAAAATATTTTACCTTCAAATCAATAGAGCGATAATGTTATTCAACTCGACAATTCAGAGTCTAAGCAATTTAGTTCACTCAAGAATGGAAAAATAAAAATAAAAAATTTATCAAACCAAATTTTTTATTTTTGTTAATTGAGGAACTGAAATTTACGAATCATTTAATCCAAAAGAACTGGAAGCAAAACAAACTTTGTAATGGTGAAAGATAATAAATTGTATGGCCATTACGTGGGCTTGATTTGAGTGCATGAAACTTCAAATCAAACCAAATCTAACATTTGAGATTTCAATCAATTAAAGAAAAAAGAAAAAAAAAAAACACTCATAAGTGACTATTACCACTTTTAATAGGTCCGCCTAATTACTGAGAGTAAAACTCATAAGTAACCTATATCATACAGCCCAACTTGGTTTATTCATTTATGGTTTATAGGATTGCACAAAGGAGAATAGCTTAAACCATCATTTGCTTTGGGAATATCTTAATTCATTCCTTGTCTAGCAGCATAACAAAGAAATTGGATTTTTTTTTTTAAGGTCCCTAGTATTAAGATTTTATAGCATAAAAGACCTTCAATATTTTAATAATGTCTAAGGTCCCTCAAGTTGATTCAGAGAAAATTCACGCTACAGAGAAAATTGGTCTAGAATTTCTCTGGAAAATTTCTCTGACCTTCCCTAATCTTCTCACTGTAAATTTCTCTGCCCTCCCCTTCTCCAAATTTCTCTGCCTTCCATACACTTCCCACTCTCCCAGAGTAATTTCTCTGCCTTTCCACAAAATTACATCTCCAGAGAAATTTTAAATTTTTCTGCCCTTCTTGCTTCTGCTGGACTCAACACTCCAGAGAAATTTCTTTAACTTCACCAGCCTGCAGTTGGTCAAAATGAATCCAGAAAAAATTGAAAACTCAAAGAAAATTGATCAAAATCAACCCAGAGAAATTTCTCGTTTAGACAAGAAGGAACCACTTTAATCGGCTGAATGACAAATCCAACCTTTTAACACGCATCCTCTAGAAGCTTTACTTGTGAAGGTCCGTTGGGACAGAATGCAACCACAGCACCACCGCTACCAGCAAACTTTGCTGCAACACCCATACTTCGGGCTGTCTCCACCATCTTTATGTTTAAAGCACCAAGAGCATCGTCTCCAAACATGGCCCTGTGTAAGGTCCAAAAACTAGTTCAATAATAAATGAAATATGTGTCTATTTGTAAGGAATGATTCGGCATTACAATTCAGGTGACAGAAATAGCAAGTTTGTTCACCCCACTGTCATTTAAAACTATTGGATACCACGAGTACTTTACCGGTCAGATTGGCTTCACCATGCTCCACCGGCGCCGGTCGTCAATGATGCTAATGAGAGATGGTTTGCTTAATTTCACTAATTTTCTCTGTGTTTTGAAATTTTTTCTGGGTTAAAATTTATCTGTGTTTTGACCAATTTTCTCTAATTTACTCACAATTTTCTTTGTGTTTTGACAAACCCAAAGAAAGTTGAACATATTTCTGCATAACACATACAAACAAACATGCACATATTGGTGTCTTCCCCATCAAATTACCCAAATGATTGAAGCTTCTTGGTGTTTTTCTCATACAAACAAGCATGTTTATATATTGGTGTCCACTACATACGCCAGATTGTGGTTGTTGATCCCTTCATAGAATTTCTTCACAATTTTCGATGCCGACATCGATGGAGATTCATCGTCTGATGATGATGATATGGTGCTTGTTGGATTATCATCATCTTGTTGCAAGGATGACACAACCCACCTCCTTCTTGCTGTTGATATGATTTTTACACTACTAAAATGAGGAGTAACAGTAATAACTATAGGATTTGAAGATGAAGATGAAGATGATGCAGCAGTGAAAATATGTAATAATACTCCATCTAGGTAATAAACTGTTGGCAACTGCTACGAACTCAGATTGGCTTCACCACGCTCTGCCGGCGCCGGTCGTCAATGATGCTAATGAGAGAGAATAAAAAGAAACACAGTTGAGGGAGAGAAGAGACACAACAGATAAAGAGAGGAAAGAGATTCAATAATGGAGAAGTTGGTAGAGAGAGAAGTCAAATTTCTCTGTGATATATACGTGTGGAGGTTAAAGGACCTTAGACATTGCCTCTGTTTCGAAAGTGAGTTGGCTTTTTGGCTATTTTAGCCTGGGCTAAAAAGTTTGGTTTTGAAAGGACTTTTTTTGTGAGAGAAGAGTGGAATGATTATGGGTTGGATTCGATATTTTGTTTGTTATTTTTTGTGAGAGAAGAGTGTAATGATTATGGGTTGGATTCGATATTTTGTTTGTTATGACTAAAATAATTTATTTTACCTTTTGTGACTATTTTAACTTGCCAACACACAAAATTTTATGTAGTTATTAAATGTGTAAAAAAATACTTTAATATTGAGACTTAGGGTTTGGTTATGCTGGCTATGGGGTTCGAACCCATGCGCACTTATGTGCAGAAGATCTTAAGTCTTCCCCCTTAACCTCTCGGGCAAACCAGCCGGTCATATTGCTTTACATGTATTTATATATACTTATTAAATGCGTGTTGAAGTGGATTTAAAATCAATAGCTCAAACACAATCCACTCTCTTTATTTAAGATTCCCAGCCCCCAAAAAAATCCTTCTTATTTAAAAGTTTAGGGAAAAAAACATTAGCATGTAGATTAAAAGTCAGCTTATTGGTTTTTTTATTTTTTTTTATCACATCATCTCTTTATTGTTTTGCATGTTTTTTCAAAAAAAAATTAAAAAATCAACTTTTAGGCCAAATGATAAATGTTTTTTCTAGGCTATGTCTTTTATCGATGCTCAATCATAAACACCTGGCTCGAGATTGTGACAAGAAATAGTGCTTGTCCAATTCAAATTTATTCAGTTAGATTAACCTTGTTCAACCCTTAAAATGAAAATTCTAAATCATTGTAATTATATTATAACCAGTGTAGTATAAAGATTACGAACTATTTGCGATGAGAAATGTTATAAACCATATTTGTAAGAAAAGTTACAACATATTATAAAATTTATAACAAAATATTGTTATGATGTTATGTAATAGTATGGTATAATACATAAAATATACTTTTTTAAAATTTTAAAATATATATATATATATATATATGCATATGGTACCAAATAGTTTTCATGGAGAGAAGGTGAACATTACCAACCCTCTCTAGAGATCACATGCATGGGGTGAAAGAACCTTTTTTTTTCCAACCTTTTCAGAAAGCAATCAACAATCTAGAGATCACAAATTAATGTCAAGAAGAAGACCCCATCAAAATTGAAATATTGGTCCCATCTCTCATATGGTCTGGTGATGATTCAAATCTTGGACTTATATGGTTCATATATGGGTATATACCCCCATACCTACAATGGTTGCATTACAGTAACCATCAAATTAATTTCTTCAAATTACATTATGTGGGGATCTTATATAAATTATATATACGACATAAAAAAAATTAAAAAATCAATTGAAACTTTCTAAAAATTACAACCACAATGGACTAATCAAAAGAAATTACAAAAACATGGAATTGCTGATTGGGATTTTGGGCTGAGTGGGAATGACCTGGGGTGGCGAAGGTAGAAGAGCGAGAAGGAATAGGTTGCAATTGTTTGCAGAAGAAAATGAAAAGAAAAATGGGCATTTTGTCTTTTGATCTAAAGATTTCATGCTTTTGTAATTTTTTTTTAAGGAAAAATTACAATGACTTTAGGCCCTGTTTATTTTCAGAGATAGAATTGAGGGGATTCATAGTGAAGGGATTGTTAGTGAGGGGATTGATAGTGAGGGGATTAATAGTGAGGAATTGTTAAATTTTTTTATATAAAATAATAAAACAAATAAAAAAATATAAAAAATTAAACATTAATATTTTAAAAAAAATTCCCAATATATAAAAAAAAAAAAAAATAAAAATTTTTCGAATCCCCTCACTATTTTTCTAATACCATCTCTACCTCCTCCTTACCAATCCCCCTTCCAAGGCCTTTACTAATACCAATACCAAGGAATTAGTAGTCTCCTTCCTATCTCTCAAAACAAACACCCCATATAGTAGTCTCATCTCACTATCAATCTCAATCCCCTCCCTATAACCCTAAATAAACGGGCGTGAGATTTTAAAATATATATATGTATAGCAAATTCTATAGTTTTAGTATAATTATTCCAACATCTCTTTTAGTAAAGTTAAAAGAACTGAAACTAATACAGATAATATAAAAATATATAAAGCTAAACAATATAAAATATACATTTCCGCGTGAAAGAGAAGATACATTAATTTTCTACTATATGGTCAATAAATTTTTAGTGTAAAATGAATTATGTCAAACTTGTAAAATTTATGAATTTTTTTGCCCAACCTCAAACAATGTTTTT